TGTGTTATATTGTGACTGATTTGCTAATACATTTGCTCTAGAGTTTCTCTTTGCTGGTTTAATGAAGTAAGCAGCCACACTGGGGAAGCCCACCCGGCAAGGAACTGGAGGTGGTCCCTAGGAACTTCCTCCAAAAGTTGAAAGTGACATCCAGCCAACCGCCAGCAAAAATTTAAGCTCTCAGTCCTACACCCTCAAAGAACTAAATGCTGCCAACAGAAACAGTGAGTAGAAAAGCAAATTCTTCCCTGGTTGGTGGGAACTTAGTCTAACACCAGCAGAAACCCTGCCGAGCCCTGTGTAGACTCCTGAGCCATAGAAAGTGTGAGATAATAAACTTGTGCTGCTTCAAGCCACTGAGTTGATGATAACCTGTTCTGTAGCAACTGATAACTAATATAATCATACTGAAACAGAATAAATCATGCTCAAGTGGGTTTGGCTTCCTGAATGCAAGAATAGCTTAGTATTTTTACTATATTTTTCTTATTGTTTTCCTCCCTCTAGTCCCAGACCTGACACAAGGAAATCCACTAATATTATTCACTACGTTAATAGCGCTAAGGAGAGATGACATGATCATTTCTATATACTGCTTCCACAAATATTAAATATTTCCACTAAAATGGGAATCAATGGATACTCTGTGATATAGCTTGAATGTGTCCCCCAAAGTCATGTATTGGAAACTTCATCCCCAATGTGACAGTGTTGAGGTACGGCCTAACAATAGATTAATGTCATTATTGTGGCACTGGGTTAGTCATCTTGAGAGTGGGTTGTTATTAAAAGATATGACCCTTGATCTTGGACTTCATCTCTAGAAGCATAAGCCAAATAAAGTATTGTTTATAAATTATTAAGTCTTTAGTATTCTCTTAAAGGAGTAGAAAATGGACTAAGACACTCCCTTAATATTTTACCTATCCATCCCTCCCTCTACCCATTTCTTCCCATTCTATAGTCATCATCTTTCTAAATGGGGAAAGTGCCAATGGCCTTCTTCACTAAGGTCAAGGACAAGGTCCATCCAATTTCTAACACTGATTGAAAACATTGGCCAATTTAATTCGACAAAATAAAGCAGTGAATGTATGAAAAGCAGTAAAGAAAAACTATTTGAATTTGCAGGTGACAGAATACCTGAACTATCTAAGAATCAATGATAAAATTAACAATAAATAAATTTAGTAAAGTGGGAAGACATAAAATTACACATATAGAAACAATATCCAGCTAGAAGACATAGCTTAAGAAACAGTTACAGCAAACAAGACAAAATACTCATGAGTAAACTTAACAAGGAATGTGAAAGACCTATGAGAGGAAAGCCGTAAATCACTCCCCAAAGTAGCCTTGAACACGTATAAAGACATTTTCCTGTTTCTGGATGAGGCGACACAACCTCATGAAGATGTTCATTTTCCTGAAACATAAACTTAATATGATTCCTTGCAAATACTAGCTACACAGTGGAACAGGTAGGAAATTCTTGAAATAATAAATAAATGTAAGAAACCAACCCAATCAGGTATCAAAATACAACAAGGCTATTGCAATAGTCTTGAATAAAGCCTTTCTTGTCTTTAAATACACACGTGTTTTGGAGTGCACCCATGCGCACACACGTGTACACACACGCACACACACACACACTGTAATGCTTTTACCAGCACACAAATAAACACACCTGTGAAAGACACTAGAAACACACCCAGTGCTTTTGGATGTTTAGCATGTGATAAAGGTACATTTTTAATCACTAGAGAGAAGATGGATTTTTTTAATAAATGGGAGTTGGAATAGAGGGACAGACATTTGGAAAAAGTTTAGATTAGGTCTGTACATTAACTGAAACATCAAACAAGTATTAGAAGACATGAATGACTTTCTTCAAGTTGAGCTGGGAAATGTTTTTCCAACTCTGATTCAAAATCTGGATCTAATAAATGGAAAGTGTGATTAAATCAACTACGCTTCATCCCCCACTGGGCATAGGGAGATGGGAGACTGGCAGTGATACACCCTGGTGAATGCAGGGAGTGGGGCAGTGCTTGAACTCATGCTGCAGGTCCTTCCCGGACCCAGGCCTCCTTGTGGCTGTGGCCCAAGAGGGTGGATGGCACATCTCAGAGCCTATTGGATCCTCCTCACAAGTATCTATCTATCTCATGATTATACGACCCAGTCCCATCTCTGCCAGGTTGACTCCAGTAGGCTCCTCCCTCTCCTGCCTCCTGGAGACCTCTCCACAGCCATTAGGAACACCCTTTCAGTAATCAACCTCCAAACCTTCTGAGGTCTGCCCCCTGCACCTAGATGAAAATCCAAACTCCACCAGCTCCTCTCACTGGCTTTATTTGGTTCAGCTCCTGCTGTCCACCACCTGTACCTGCCTCAGGGACCTTGAATCTGCTGTTTCCTTAGACTTTTCCCATGAGATCCATCCTTTCATTCACAGCATGGTCAGAGGTCACCGCTCAGGGACATCTTCCCTGAACAGGCTAAGTAGCTGCCCCCATCTGCCTCATTTTATTGTTTTTCTTCCTAGCACTATTCTCTGACATTGACCTCCAATTTCCCTTTTATTTTTTTCTTTTGGTTCTGGGAATTGAACCTAAGAGCTATCTACCACTGAGTTACATCCACAGCAATTTTTAGAAATTTGTTCTTTTTAGGTATACTTGACAGTGATGTACGTTTTGACATATTATACATACATACTTGACCTAATTAGGATCCAATTCTTGCTATGGTACATGGTGTGGAGTTACACTGGTCATGTATTCATATATGAACACAGGAATTCATTCTATCTTTCCCATTCCTATCCCCTTCCCTTCATTCCCCTTTGTTTAATCCAAAGAGCTTTCATTCTTCCATTGTGTGTTAGTATCCACCTATCTGAGAGAACATTCAGCCTTTGTTTTGGGGGAGATTAGCTTATTTCATTTAGCATGATAGTCTCCAGCATTTACCAGCAAATGCCATAATTTCATCCTTCTTTATGGCTGAGTAATATTCCATTATATATATATTATGTGTGTGTGTGTGTGTGTGTGTGTGTGTGTATGTATCACATTTTCTTTACCCATTCATCTGCTGAAGGCCACCTAGGTTGGTTCCATAGCTTAGTTATTGTGAATAGAGCTGCTATAAACATTGATGTGGCTGCATCACTATAGTATGTTCCCAACCCTTTTTATTTTTTGAGACAGGGTCTCGCTAGATTGTGGAGGCTGACTTTTAATTTGCAATCCTGCCATCTGAGCTTCCCAATAGCTGGGATTACAGGTATGTACTATCACATCTGGTGGGATTCTCCTTTGATAATTGTAATTGGATGGCCTCCTCCCTTCTACACCAGCTGGAGAGAGCACTTACTGGAGCAGAAAGTAGGCAGCACACAGAAGGTGCTCAATGAATACTCTAGGCAAGTGAATGGAAAACCCCAGGGCTCCCCAGGTCGGTATGTTGGACCCTCACCTTTGCCACTTCATGGCCCCGAGACTGAACAAATCTTGTCAATTCTCTAAGCCTCAGTATGTCCGCTATGAAATGGAAATACAGCATCTATCTGACAGGTAGACCTTTCCAAGAACCCTCTCTCTCAGCAGAACACCCGCCTCATAGTCTCAGGAAGCAGTAGGTAAGAGCTGGTGGGGAGCCTCACCGCCTCCGCCCCAGGTTGGTCTTTTCCATGCTGAGCATGAAGCCCTCCTTATCCCAATCTAAACAGAAGAAACGAAGTGGTCACTTGTTCGTGCACGCTCTCACAGCGAGGGGGACACACCCAGAGCCCCCAAGCAGCTCCCACCGTCCTGAAGGCCCTCTGATGGTAGCACTGATACATTTTTCAAATCCGATTCCAGCTTCTGTGACAACACCCTCTTCCTCCAAGGATAAGGCCCTTTTCCCTTCTTCCCTACAAGTAAGCTGTGCCGCCCCATTTCATAGGTGGGGAAACTGAGGTCCAGTGCGGGGTGAAGACTGGCTTTTCCTGCCACCCGAGTGGCTGAAGGGAGCTCGTTCTTCACGCAGAGTGGAGCGGCGGGGGACTCACGGCAGAAACCCGTCTCTCTCAACGGGCTAGGGGGCGTGCCCTAAGCTGGTCCCCTCCGCTATTCCTCCTTGCATCTCCAGTCCCAGCGTCCCGGCCCCTGCTCACCCCGCCACGCGCACCCCTGCCCCTCCGGGCACACTCCCACGCAGCTCGCAGCCCCCTCCACGGTCCACCCCTCGCCGCGCGGGCCTCACACTCAAGCGCGCCGCGGTTCCGGGCCCCGCCGGCCCGCCGGCCACGCGCACCGTCACCCGTGCGCGCACCTGTGCCCTGGGTCAGACCAGAGCGTCCCCGCCAGCTGCTTGGATGCCAGCCATCCACGCCCAGATCGCCGCCCCTCACCTAAGCATCCCGACCTCTCCCGCACCCCGCGCCCCACCGCCGCTTGCAGCCCCTCCCTTGCGCCCGCGAACCTCGCGCCCTTGTCCGCAGCACCAGGTGTCCCGCCTGGCCGCGCCACCACTCACCGGCTCCCGGCACGCCTGAAGCCCGGGCCCGGCCCACGGGCAGCGCCCGCCGCGCCCGCCGCGCCCGCTGAGAGCCGCGGGGCCGCAGACCCGGGGCGCTGCCCGTTGCCCGCAGCCCGTTCAGATCCCGGTGCAGCCCGCCTGTGCGCCTGGCGGTCGGCCCCGAAGGAGCGCTGCTCGGCGCCCCCTCGCGGCCACAAGGGGGAGCGCCGAGCGGGAGGGGCGCGGGGTGGAGCCCCGGGAGTCCCCGCAGAGCGACTGTATTGCCGCTGCCTTGCAAGCGGCCTCGTGGGTACCCTAGGTGGCTCTGTCCACCAGGCCTCTCCTCTGCTCCTGGGTCTCGGGGTCAAGGCAGACGTCCAATCCTGCTTTGGGGACCCTCCGCTGCGGCTCGCTTCCCACCCCTGTTGCCAGGTCACACAAGTCAGAACTGCCCTGATGAGCATTGTTCCTGGAGGACTCTGCGCTTGAACTCCCCTCCCCACCGCCTCCTCTTCCCACAGGGGTGATCAGCTCTGCCCACTGGGGGAGACAGGGCTGCCATCCATACAAACAAAAAAATAAAGACAATTACAGAACGCTGAGTACCATAAAGTAACCAATATAGGGAGGTGATAGAGTGTGGATGGGGCTACTGTAGACAGGCCTTTCTGGGATGTGGCATTAGACTGAGACTTGAAAGATGAGGAGCCTGGGGAGGTGTGTTCTGGGCAGAGCGGAGATCAAGGGCAAAGGCCCTATGAGCAGTAGACATCGATGAGGGCGAGTGAGTGATGAAGGAGGCTGAAAAGTTCTGGGAACTAAGGAGGAAGGGGTCAGGACCAGGTAATTCCTCCAGGATAGGAGGAAGAGATGGATTCTGTCCCTTGGGTATTGCAATAAGGGCAGGTTTAGCCCCAATTCTGCCAGGGAGGTGCTGGTACTGTCTCCAGCTATACTGGTCCTGGTTCACCTGAAGGCTTTCCTAGCATCCCTCTTGGAACCCCTGCCTTGGTTGCCCAGATGACATCTCCACATGGATGCGACTCTGGGCCACCCAGGTTTGCTCCACCACCGGCACAATGGGTTGGTGGGGCTTGAGTCTTTATCCACTAAGAGTGGATGTGAGGGAGAAGCAGCAGGCAGAAGCCTGTAGAGGTGGCAGCAGCAGGGAACAGCTGAGTGATCTATACCAGGCAGGGGCAAGAGATGGGGTCAGACCCAAGTGAGGGCTATTTCTGGGGAAGAAGCTTCAGGGCTGGGTAATGGGAAGACAAGGAGAATGTGTGAGGAGTGGCAAAAGCTGTTAGGGTATGACCAGGGGGAATGGAGACATTTTTCCCAAGGATGGGGAGGAGCCCCTTCTCAGAAGACAGGAATCTGCTGAGATACCTGCCACAAGGAATTTGGGACACATCTGGAGGTAACTGGACTTGTGGGTGCAGTAGGGGGGTGAGACCTTGGGAGTGAAGGAAGAAACCCTTGAGGTTTCAATAGCTGCAGACGCCCAGTGCCTGGAGCCTGCATGGCCTCCACATCACGTCTGCCCTCAACTCTTGGCACAGCCACAGCAGGTGACTCAGGAAGGAATCTGACAGCAAGCAAGACTGCCGAGCAGGATTACCAATAAAATCTGAGAACAATGAGGACAGAATTTTGGGTTCTGGCCAGTGCATTTTATTAGTGTAACCCATAAGCCAGTGTCCATTCTTGGGTCTGGTGAAAGCTAAAGCTCTCCAAAGTTACTACAAGGGCAAAACTCCAGGAGGAAGTTATTGTATAGTCAGCTACTGGGGTGTATGGGTGTCACATTCTACTATTACTTATAGACCAGGGCCCTGACTATCCGAAGAGTCTGTGTGGGTATCAGGGAGGAGTGAGAGAGTATGTGTGTATGCATGCGCATATGTGTGCACATGGTATGTGTATGCAGAGCGTGCATGTGTGTGTGAGTGGGCACGTGTGATGGCATTTCAGGCATGTGCATGGTACATGTTCATACAGTACATATGTGTGTGATATATGAGAACAAATAGTGGTGTGTGTGTGTGTGTGTGTGTGTGTGTGTGTGTGTGGTGGATGTGTGGTGTGTGCAGTGAGCATGTGTGTGGGGTGAGTATGCACAAACCATGCTCCTGGCTGTGCTGAACTTGAAGGCAGGTGAGACTACAAGGCAGGGTGAAAAACTTACCTGCTAAAATCCACCCCTTAAAGACTCATATTTCCTCGGGACTTTGATTAAGTTCCCAAGGTCATGATCCCTCCTTGAGCCCCTAGAGCCCCAGGCAGCACTTCTGCCAATCTGTGGCATACCTGGGATTGACCTGCAGTGTTGGAGTACCCAGTTACTATGTCCTTATCAGGCTATGGCTATTGAACTTGCCCATCTATAGCTTATTTATGGGACATGGAAATACAGAGGGGCCCATGCCCTCTCTGAGTTTCAGACATGATCCCCCTGCCCTATCAGATGGCAGCAGCCCTGTCTATCCCAGTGGGCAGGGTCAATCACTTCTGCCAGTAAATTGGCTCCTTTCATTATTGGTTTCCTGGCATTAAAGCAATATTGAGTTGTCATCTCTGTCTGTGACAGGCAGAATAATGCCCCAAGTGTCCTGAAGCATTAGATTAAGGCTCAGAGGAAGTTTTACCCGATTCTGGGAGGCATCATGCAGCACAGTCTAATTCTGTAGGCATGGGAAACACCTCCTCAGGGTCCTCGGTCTCCAAAGCTTGGGGGAAAGTTGCCACATGATCAAGTATCGGGTTCTGGTGGGAAACAGAAAATGTAAACCTCTTTTCCCCTCCTGAGTCCTCCCAGGCATCTGCCACACTCAAGGTGTCATTTATCCAAGAGAGTCAAATGTCAGTGCACATAGGAATCAACTGGAACATATAAAGAAAAGAAAGCACCCTAAGATCCCCCTTGAGACCAAGGCTGGGGGGTAGGGATGGCCCTGCACTGTGTATTTGTAGCAGGTGATTCAGGTGATGCTGATGCCACAGGAAGATGGAGCAAATTTTGAGAAATGCTGATTTAAAGCAATATCGAGTTGTCATCTCTGTCTGTGGTAAGCAGAATAATGACCCCTAGAGTTGTCCACCTCCTAGTTCCCAGAACCTGTGACTAAGTTACCTTCCATGGCTTTCCATGTATGAGAAGATTATTTTAGATTATCCAGGCAAATCCAGGGTAATCACATGGGTCCTTAAAAATGGAGGTTGAGGAAAGAGGATGACAAGTTCAAAGCCAACCTCTGAAACTTAGGGAGACCCTGTCTCAAAATAAAATATAAAAAAGGGCTGCACATGTAACTCATTAGTGTACATGAGGCCCTTCCAGTACCAGGAAGAAAAAAAATCAGAAGGGGGAGGCAGAAGAAGAGAACCAGAGAAAGATATAACAATGGAATATAAAAAAAGATAGAACCCGGCGGTTAGAGAAATGCTGAGCTTCTAGCTTTGAAAATGGAGGAAGAGGCCATGTACTGAGAAGTGTGGGTGGCCTCTAGAAATGGAAAAAGTCAAGAAAATCTGATCTCCCCTACAGCCTTCAGAAAGAGCCACCCTGTCTGACACCTTGTTTTAAGCCCAGTGAAACCCATGTTGGACTTCTGACCTGCAGAGCTATAGGTTGATACAATTGTGTTGTTTTGAGCCACCATGTCTGTGGTAACATGCACAGCAGCAAAAGGGAACTAGTATGCATTTCACAAGAGGGACTCAGAGAGGACACCTGACTTGGGTACATGACCCAGCAGAGATAGAGCCCACAGTCTGCCTCACTAATGTCCAAACCCTCCGTGCTTCTCATTGGCTGGGCAGAATGGATGAAGTAATCCTGACTTTTTCTGGGAGTTTATTTACAAAACAGATACCCAAGACCCCTGAGAGACCTTTGAATCAGAGGGTTTGGAGACCAGGAAATCAAATCTTTTGGCACATATTTTGAACAGTTCTGAGTCAGTCAAGTTTGGGATCCAGTGCCTCAGGCATTTCTTTCCTATTCATTACAGCCACACATATCCCTCCTTCCAGAGAGCCTAGAGATAACCAAAATATAGTGAGGACTGTATAGGAGTAATATCACCCACATTCTATTGTGAAAAGACTGGGATGCCCAATCCATATGGGTCAATCAGGCACCTGCTGTGGATTCAGGTGGATGAGGTTCAACCTGGTACCAGAGTGTGTTCCCTGGAAACAGATCCTCAAAGAAGTGAGAGCTCAAATCCATCTCATGATGGATTAGTCAAATGTAGAACTTCCCTGTTCACCCTTATCCCCTAGCTCCCCACTTTGACCCTGGTGGGATTAAAAAAAAAAAAAAAACCCAAACAAACAAAGCCTACTTACAGCCACCACCAATGACAAACAAACAAACAAACTTGAGCTAATTTATTGACATACATTAATTATGTCAATCCAAGCTACCACATCAAAAGAAAAGGAGGGATAGATGCAAAATATCAGGAAGGAGAGGAATATCTTATGCTCCCTTCTCTGCCTTCCAATCTCCGGAATACCCCAGGAAGGTATGGTAAAGTTTAACTGAATTTGGCAAGTTTGAATGACCTGGCACTGGCTATTTTTTTTTTTAATGAACTGAGTGGTTTTTTTCCTTATTAGTGACCAGAGAAGTTATGAAATTTGTCAATGTTTTCAATCTGTGCTCTCTACATAAACTATGATGGGCCAGAGGACAAAAATAAAGCTGCATACTAATTATGTCACATAAGCCCTGCTTTTTAGCATACTGGCTATATTTGATTTTATGTCCAAACAAATCTAGATAAGAGTATAATATTGTAGTTGAAGGCAACACTGGGATTCAGTGCAACTTTCTTTACAGGTAGGCAGATGTCCACATAAGGGTTCTATAGGTTAGGAAATTTAAATATGGAGTTTTAACTTTAGTTTTAAGAAAATGCATACTGGAAAATTTAGGGGTGAAGTTTTATGATGTCAATACATTACTTAATTAATAAATTAATTATGTCAATCCAAGCTACCATATCAAAATAACAGGTTTGATGGTTTAAACAACAGAAATTAATTTTCCTCCAGTTCTGGAGGCTGGAAACATGAGATGAGGGTACTGGCATGCTCCAGCTCTGTCTGGGCCCTCTCCCTGGCTTGTATGCACATGGAGAGACCCATCTCTTTCTCTTCCATTTCTTAGAACGTTACCCACCCTATTGGTTAGGGACACTAACCTTATGACCTCATTTAATCTTACCTCCTAAAAGCCTTGTCTCCAAATACTGACGCACTGGGGGTTAGGATTTCAACTTATGAATTTTGAGAAGGTATAATTCAGTGTCTCATATCAGGAAGGGTACACACACACACACATACACACACACACTCACACACACACAGTTAAATCAAGGAAATCAGGGTGCAGAATGTTTATTACTTCCTTTTGTATGAGGGAACATTGGCATGATAAAAAGACTAAAGGGGCTTTTGCTTCTGGTTAGTAGGTTGTGGCAGAGCAATGTTTTTCTTCTGACAACCAGAAGAAGTTAGATATACCTTTAAAAAATCATATTTTCAAGGGCACCAGAGAGTTGTGAAAGCACAATTTCAGACGGGAGAGAACTCTTCTGAACTGAGCCCACTGAAGGACAGTTTTATTTTGCCTGCACACTGGCTATTTCTGGGTATGTCCTGGGGATACAGGGTTTAGAGAAGGTAGAGGGCTACTGCTGAGGGAAAGTGAGTGAGCAAAGCTGTTAGTAATTACACAAGATTGGAAATAAGAGACTAACTTATTTCTCTCTGGAGCACTTCCTGAATTTTGAGGCTGTGGGTGGGGCT